GAGAGAACAGCTTCAGAAAGATCGACGTGTGAACGTATGTGTATCTGAAGTGCTGTAAGTGCCGGGTGATCCCGACCACAAGCTGGACATTCAAATGAGTACGGTTCCACGATAGGATGATGTGCAGGGCTACGATCACAATGACATATCTTATTCTGGAAAAGTCGACGTACATGTTGTCTTGAAATAGCATGTGTTGAATGAGTAGACATGCACCATGGCCGCTGATTTGTTACTGATAAGATTTGTGATAAAGCTCGCTCTCCATGACTCCCCTCGCGACAAAATCTCATATGAGCATACCGCCCCTGTTGTTCAGTGAATTCGAGCCCGCAGATGGCCCCGTTGTCCAGAGTCTCTTGGCAAATCCACGTTTTTGGGGCCAGTGGGGGACCAGGGTCGGGAGCAACATTAGCATCGGCACCTCCTCCTCCTTCTCCTCCAACTGCAGCAGCAGCAGTAGCAGTAGGAACCCGTCGACGCCCAAACTCATCTATCATGTTCTCCCAGTAGAGCCCCCGAAGCCTCTGGAAATTGATCTTTTTGAACCTGGGGGCGAACTCCTCCTGGAAGATTCTTAAGTGAATGCCCCCCATGGCCTGCAAGAGCTCAGCACCACTATCCAAGAGTGTCAGCATTTTTAGATCGTTCAACACCTGGAGGGCCCACGGGTTACCTTGAAACTGTCCTGCGGCATTGCGCGCAAGGAGCCAGTCGCGGAAAGTGGGCTCAGCTTCGCCAGTCATCTGGCCGAAGATAGCGGCGAGCAGCTGACGGTTGTCTGCACGATGGTTCGCAAGTTGCTGAAGCCATCGAAGACGGCGAATTCTTCATTCAAGCGATGCGGGCACAAGTCCTAGACGTGTCCAGATCTTCTGAGTAGGCAGAGACACATGTTTAATACTACCATCGGGATTGTGGAACTTGGTTACTGCATCACCTTTAAGTAATATGCGTCCCCATTGTAGGAGTAGACTGTCAATCATGTTGTAGTCGCTATTAATCAATATGAAAGCTTCTAATCCACTTAGCCCCGCAGATTGAACTCTAGCTTGAAAGACAAGTAATTGAATTCGACGTGGAACCCGATTCGTAAACCAGAAACGCCCCATGGAGTACCAAGCCTTGCGCATGCTTTTTTTGGATGTGCTGGCGTTGTTGCGCGGTTGTGCCATTGTCATGGTATTGGACCCCAAGGTACGTAGCGTGAACGGCGATTCGACCAGGAAGCGACGAAGTTGGGTTCGTGAACTGCCTCGATTGCTGGTTAGCTCTTCCACCCGCAAACTTCGGAATCGTAACTTGCTTGCCTACATTCAGAGCGCCCCCAACTTGCTGTAAATCGCCTGCAAAACTCGCAGATGCTGCAGCAACTTTGGCTGAGAGGTCGGCTGCAGTCAAGCCTGTAATCTTGTGCGCCGTGTCATAAAAAAAAACCGCCGCGGCAAGATTGACGGTGAATGTGTCGATGGCGTTGAGAGGGCTGGTACACATGAGATCCTTGCCACCATCACATTCAGTGCGCTCCGCGATCCATGGTTGGAGCACGGTGCGATCAAAGCTACGAATATACTTCACTGGAGCCGATTGGTGCCCCTGGAGGACACCTTGACCGATTTGATAATGCCCCATGCCATCTGCACAACCAAGAGAAACAATACAGTTATGATTACAATGTTGGCCAACGAACAGATCATCAGGGTTCATGTGAATGGCGTCAGTGTCGTCAAAACCATCAGTGTTGAGGCTGCCGAAGGCGTTCGTCTGGTCGTAGAAGATCGTGCAATGTGATGTTTGTAGCCTTTGGAGTCGCCAGGCAGCGATAAGTTGAATCTTGATGGCGCTCTCCCGTCGACGATTGCGAAGGCCTCCATGAAGGTAGTCAGCATGTTGTCGTTCAGGGTGGCATTCATCAGCACGATGTCCAAGATATTTAGTATAAGCCTTGCTAAAAGGGCACGTCCGGTGCACCAGCCTGAGTGATTTAAGCCCCGTAGCAGTAGTTGGTTTGGGTATGCAGCAGCCCATCGAGAGGGAGGTGCGCGCTGCCACGCACATCCCACAACACGCCTCGTACCCGTCGTGTGAGCCAGTCCATGGTGGGGAGAGACGCCTCAAACTGATCACGTTGATCTTCATTAAACTTCCGATGATTACGATGGGTGGGGGGGTAAAATCATACGAAACACTTCCAGTGGCAAACTCCATGGTGGGGTACTCTTGCGATATTGCATAGTAAGAAGGGCACGTCTGATGCCGCGGAGGTCGGTCTCAGCTTCGTCTTTGAACCCTGGTGAGTAGAACCGATAGCCTGTGCCAACATCATGTCTAGCCTCAGGGAGCCGAGAGACGTCCACCATAGTAGCGCTCTGTCCACCACAGTGTCCTGCTTGCCCTAAAAAATCACCCCACGTCGCACATGTAGGTCGGTGACTGACTGGATTGTTGAAGAACCGTCGTCCAGGGCCGACTGTAGTGCAAGCGAGTCGTCGACATAAGCGGTGCACCAGGGACCATCTATGCTCCTTCCACGCATCATAAATCTGAGCCGCCAAAGACTCGACACGATGACGACGATTTTGGTCCCGTTTAGCTTTGATGTCTTTGGTGACGGCGACTAGTCTCTGCTGAAGACGATTGAGCTCCGAGAAAGCTTCAGGAAAAGGCAACGATGGGGGCAGCCGACGTGAGTTCAGCAAGCTGGGCGCGAAGTTGGAATCGTTGTTTTAGTAGCGTTCTTTGCTCATCACGTGCAGCAACATAGTCGGCATCAGGTTCAGTAAAACGTGCAAAGCAGCCCAGGGCGATTTTACGGATATCCGAGACAAATTGCTCCCATGCTCGATCTGGTACTGCTTGGGCCTCAAGCTTAGACCATTCAGGGAACTTCCGAAAACAAAATTGCTCAACCTCCTCCAGGAAACGCTGCCTCCAAAGCCCATCGGAAGCCCCCTCGACGAGCCTGTCCATGTCCCAGAGTTCAGCCTTGGGGGTGCGGTTGTGCGGGAAGCTCAAGATGTATTTAACAGACACTTGCAGCGGCCAGTGGTCCCAGCGGCGCACAATAGGCACCATCTGCAGTTGCCTCCCAAGACGCTCCAGGATGCGACAATCAGAAACCGAAGATAACCAACTTCGAGGAGCCCCAAAATAATCGATTCTGGAACTAGTTGTTTTGTTATAGTACGTATCTTGACCTCCCACGAAAGTGTTGATCATACATAATCCATATTGCTCCATGAACTCTCGAATTCGCTTAAGACAATAATGCTCAGGTCGGGGAAAGAGTTCGCCTACTGGGTTGAACTCATCAGGGATATAGTCACTAGCAGGTACACCTGCATTATCATTCAAGTCGCCTCCAAAAACGATGGAGCAGCGCGCGGGCTGCTCGGCGGCAATGCTGATCATCCACTGCACAAGCTCGTCTACTGTCCGCTGATAGTTCAGCCGCTGCTTCGCGACGGTGGGCCTGGGCGGAAAGTAGACTGCGATGCACAAGAGATGAAATCGTCCAGAGCGTAGGGCAACAGCACCACCTCTACCCTGCAAACGTTCAGGGGGAGAGTACACGTTCGATATGTGCGCGAGTCGAAACACGTCACGACGAAGCCGAATCTGGATACCCGTATGAGCATTCGTGAGGGGTGATCGCCCATATCCCCAACTAAGAACATGCAACTTGGAGTCCGAGACCGATACACAAACGTTGTCTGTCGGCTTTCTTCTCATACGGGTGCCCACTAAGAATTGAACGTCCTTCGAAGCAAATGCAACAGACAAATCCTCATGCCGACCAGGTTGGACCAGAGAACAAACGTTATGGACCACGAAGTTCAGATCACGAGTCTCCATGGTACTTCCACACCAACGTGCCGTACGGGGGTCCCTCAAACATGAGTGAGCGGCATGGCGCAGCAGGGAAGTATGCATAGTGGGGGAGGTTAGGCGTGTATGATGCGGGGCGGTGCTCGTGCAAGACGCCTGGAGGAGGAGGAGGAGGAGGAGGAGGAGGAGGAGGAGGAGGAGGAGGAGGAGGAGGAGGTTGCCTATTTGTCGTCTGGCTTTCCTATTCTACTCCCCCAGGGCTGCCTTTTGGCCAGCCCTGGGGAAAACGGCACCGTGCGGAGCACACCAATGCCATCAGGAAATCAGGAAATCAGGAGGAGGAGGACAGAAGAGGAAGAAACATCTGCATAAACACTAGCTTCCTGAGGTCCGCGCACGTGTCTTAGAGCGGCGCTGGCCCCCCTCCTTGGCGCGCAGAGCGCGCCAGATGTGCGGCGCCCGAGGCGCCGCCCTGGGGCCCAGCACCGATACGAGAGAGCCCGCGTGGACCTCCGAAGAGTTGTGCTGATGCCGATGCTCATTTTGCGGGAGAAAGGCGACGACGACGCTTACCCTTGACCCCCGACGTCGTGATCGTTCCGCTTCCGGTGTTCTTGCATCCTGAGCCGCTTGCTGATCGTCCCACGAGGCCAGGCGATGGGACCCCAGAGTTAAGTCGGGCGTGTCCCCCATGGGGGATCTTGGGCGAAAAATAAACAAATCTCAAAACATACACCCCAAATGAGCAAACATAGTTTAAACAATGAAAAAAAAGTCCCCAGACTATGTTTTGGCTATTTTGAAGATTCCCCCTGTAGAGGGACACGCCCGACTTGACCCTGGAGGCCGAAACCCGAGGAAACCTTCCGTCGTGACTTTTGCCACGGCGCGCGGGGGCCTGGGTGCGTCGGCTGTCCGGATCACGGCACGGCGCTTCGCCCGAAGCCCAGCCGGAGGATGACTACCTACCAGACCACCCCAACCCAACCCGAAGACCCCGAATTTGACCCGAGTTTCGGGTGGGGGGGGGGTTACGGGTTCCGTGTGTTTTCTTCCGACGCTCCCCGACCCCCCCCCCCCCTGGAAATCGAGGATACACTTGGACCTTCGGGTTGGGTTTTGGAGTGGTTTAGTGGTGGTGGTGAGGACCCCCCCGCCGACGCCCCGCCGGCCTGCTTCCTGTACGCCAGGAGCTCCTCCTGCCTCTGCTCCACGGTGCCTTGCCCCGGGGCTGCCGGGCGGCCGCTCGGATGGCGAAGCCCGAAGGCGGGCAAGGGGTGACCCCAGATCTCCGACGACGCGCCTGTGGTCAGACTGCGGCCCTCGGGGGTCGCTCTCGGGCCCCGGGGCTCAAAAAAAATTGTCCTGGACGAGAAGATAGGTGGTGACATCCGAACCCTGCCCTCACCAACCGTCGGTTCTCCTGGGTCGGTGGTAGGTGGGGGTAAGGTTCGGATGTCGTCACGTGTCCGACGAATTCCGCAACCTACCCCCGCCGCCCATCGAGTTGCCTGAATCGTTGATCGGCGAAGGTAGGGTTCGGATCTCTCTGGGATCTGCTGACCCGGGTGAGTCCAGACCCGGGGACCCGGGTCAGTCGGGCCCGGTAGAATCCTGCAAGTTCCTGCAGGATCCTGTTCCCAAGCCAGGGTCAGTGCGCCCCTGGCCCTGCAGGGTCCTGAAAGATCCGGCGCTCTGGCTGACCCCCGTTTGCATGGACCCCTGCCGCTGGAGCCCCGAACTTCGCAGCTGGGAAAAGTCGGGAGCGGCCAAGAGAGGGGGGCGTCCAAGAGGGGGGGGGGGGGGGGGCAAATCGTGACCGGCGGCACGTGCGCGGCCCAGCGGGGGGGCCGGGGACGTAATGAAATCAGAAGAGGCGCCATGAGATCTGGGGAGATATCATGGCCCCGTCCATGAGATCCACCCCCCCCTGGTCATGACCCCCCTCTTTTCCGCTCCCGAAGGAAAAGCCCCCCCCCCGGGGGCGCGGTCGGGCCTTCCGAGAGGGCCGCGGATCGTCAGAGTCCCGTCCGCGGAACTGCCGGGGGACACGGCCGGGGGCAGGAGCGGCGGCCGCCTCCGCAGCTGAGGCAGATCGGGGGACGTCACTTTGGCCGCCTCGCCAGGAGGAGGAGGTGGAGGAGGAGGAGGAGGAGGAGGAGGCGGAGGAGCGGGAGGAGGGGAGGAGGAGAAGGAGGGAGAGGAGGAGGAGGAGGAGGAGGAGGAGGAGGAGGAGGAGGAGGAGAAGGAGGAGGAGGAGGCCGGGCCCGCGATGGGCGCGGCCCAGCCAGAGTCCGTGAGCAAGACCAAGCCATGGCAGGTGAGGATTGATCGAGGATCTCCGGGATCTGGCGGCTCTGGAGGATGTCTCGGGCGCTGCGGCCTTCTCGGAGCGTTCCGGAACGCTCTGAGAGCGTTCCGGGACGCTCTGGAACGGATTTATCCTCGTCCTTGCCCCGTCCGAGTGAGGGTGTCCGCTTGTGTGCTGTAGATCTCCACTCTAACCAACATAATGCGAGACACCGCAGCCCCTCGCGCGACCCCGGCAGGAACGTTCCCTGCACGGCCAGATTCGCAGGGGGGGAGGAGAGGAGGGAAAAAAGAGGGAGGAGAGGAGGGATTGAAGAAGGGGCAGGCCCGCCTAGCCGCCCTCCGCGCGAGAGGTTGTCCGTTGCCTGGGGGAACCGACAGGTACTGATACAAGTACGCCCCCGACCTTTCCTGGGAACTTCTGAACATCACTCAAGCGAATCCAGCTGTGGCGACGAGGGCCTCCCAAGAGGCGTGAGGAGGCGAAAACGAGGGAAGGGTAGCGGTATGGATGCACGCCGCTCGGAAGAAGTAGGCAAAAACATGGAGTAGGAAGGCGGATAAAGTAGATTGGTTTCAGACCCTCCCAGAGAAGAACAAAGCACAGCAGAAGCACATCGATTCTTGAAACAGGAAGACGCTTGAAGTGGGTTGGTATCTGGGCATCCCAAGATACCTACTTTCAACGACCAGCTTGTACTTCTTGCTCCTCCGACTGACGGCCCCCGAGCAGATCTGCGCCACACGACAGGCAGCAACGGCGGCCACAGCAGACGAGCCGGCTCGAGCAGCTCAGAAGCTGACCGGCTTGGGCCCCGCTGCATGGGGGGGCGACGAATGGGGGAAGAGTGATGCACTTCTCGCGCCCTGCAGGCCTCCTTTTGGGCCCCAGAGGGCCCCTTGTAGGGGCCCCTAAGAGGGCGCCTGTTCTGCAGCCCCCGCTGCCCCCTCCCATTTATCGCCCCCCCATTTCGGGTGTTGGCAGAACTGGGTTTAGTGGGACCTGGCTCAGTGATATTTACTGGGGGACGCACCCCCCGCCCCGTTCCACTGACCGGAGCTGCCGTCACCCGAAGAAAAACACCAACTACGGCAGACCTGGCTTGGTGATCCTGGCAAATTTAGGGGCTGCAGGGCCCTACCTACCACTAACCGGGTCCCCGTGCCTGGGGTCCTGGCTATACCCGACCACTTGCCATCGCTCGGACGTCCAACTCCCGTGCACTTACTTGTCGGTCTCGTGCGTGGCTTGTTCGCCACATGATCGAGGCTGCTCCTCGATGCTCCTCGCCGAAGGAAAAGTGCACACGCCCGAGCGATGCCGAGGACCACTGTGCGACGCCCGACCGGTGCACGGCCGCGTCCTGCCGGGCGCGGGTGCAGGCCGGCGGCGCGTCCCCTCCTCCGACCCTGCGGTCGGGGGCCCTCTGGGTGTGGCGCGGCGCCCCGGCGACCCCCCGGCGACGCGCGATGCCTCGCAGGCGGACGGCGTGTCGCTCCGCTCCGCGGAGGGCGGGAAGCTCGGGAAGGCTCGGGGCGTTGAGACCTGGGGACTGGGAAGTGGATCCGCCACCGTGCCTCCGGGCACGGCGTGAAGATGTTCCTTGGATTTTCAAGGACTTTGGAATTCTCGCCGTTTCGGCGTCCCGACGCTCCCAGACGGCTACAGAGGCCCCCAAGACCGCCCCGAGACGGCCCAAGAGGCCTCCAAGAGGGTCCAGCCCAAGAGGGCTCCAAGACTGCCCAAGAGGCACCCAAAACGGCCCAAGAGGGCGAGAGAGGGAGCACGAACCGAAAATACAAAACTTTCTGCCCCGAGAGGCCCTCAGGAGACACCAAGAGGCCCCGTCGGCGTGTGTGAGGGGCTTGTCTTGTCGTCGTCTCCGTCAGTCGTCGTCTCCGTCGTCCCCTTTCCCTCCACCCTCCTCCTCAAGCTTGTCAGCGAAAGAAAAATCTAGCAATGTCGTACAGTGGAGGCCAGTCCACAAGAAACCTTCCACAAGAAACCCAACCCTGAGACCCCAGGACTTCCATTCATTTTGTGTGGGAATGTCACTCCGTTCATTTTGTGTGGGAATGTCGCTTCATCGAAACCCAAGAAGCCCAGGGCACCCCGGAGGCAAGCAGGGTGTTTCTTGGCATGGGCCTCCACTGTAATCGAGTCGAAGGGACGCCTCTTCCCTATTGATCCTTCCCCGTCGAGGGGGGCCCCAGGGGGCGGGGGGGGGTAGGGGGAAATCAACAGAACCTCCCCGCCCGCAAGCCGTCTAGCTCACTCCCACCCGCCACTCCAACACAGAAGTAGCACCCGAGCCGCAACGTGTTCAGCGGTAGTCTTTGGGTGGGCAGCTGATGGAAATCAGAACAGATCCCATGCGCGCAACGCGGGGGCGAGGCGCGCCATGCATGCCAAGCGCGCCACGCGCGCCAAGTGCGCCAGGCAACCCATGCGGCCCAGGCGTGCCCGGACGCCCGGTGCGCCAGATGCGCCGCGTGATCCACGTGCGCCATGTGTACCACGTGCTCCAGCCGCGCCAGGTGCGCAGCGTTCGGGGCACGCGCAGAGCGAGCCAGGTGAGCCTGCGCACGTGGCAGTGCACAGCGGGAGACGCGTCGGCCCCCACAACCCTTGTCCAAAACCAGCGCGCAGTCGCGGCGGAGTGGCCATCATGGCGTCTGGTCGGCCTGCACAGAGCAAGCAGCATGCCAGCACCCCCCGTCGTCCCAGCCAGAAGCCAATGCGCAGTGATCGCGGGGTGCCCGCGCATGATGAAGACTTTGCCTCGAAGTGATTGCTGTTTCTGACAGGCAGACAAGGGTGC